TCTGAAGCTCTCTGAATATTTCCTCATATCCCCTTAGAATTTGGGGAAACCTGGCAGAGTGAATAAGGGCAAGGAATTGGAGTGAGGACACCTGTATCTGAATCCTGCCCCAGATATTTACTAGCCATGTCATCAGAGGCAAGTAACTCAGTCACTCAGTGTATCAGTTTCTTCATCTGTGAAATGGAGATATTAATGCAACCCTAAGATTTTAAGTTGTAAAACAGAGAACGTTTCCTTATTAGAAATTCCCAATACCAGTGACATCAAAGGTTAAATGCCAACCAGTAGGTCCCCATCTCCCAGGGCTGTAGCCAGGAAAGCACTTTGCAACCCTTAAAATACGATATAAAGGTGAATTACGGTTATCACTGTTCTGCTCAGAAACATTCCATAGTCTTCCTGGCATCTCTCCTTGAGCCCTGTGCCATAGATGCAGTGGAGACAAAGCTTTCACCAAAGTTGGCTGCATCACCAATCACAGCCCTGCTTTCAAAGGACTAACTACATGTTTCGTACATGAACAGCCTGCCCTTCTGGACAAAAGACAGTGCTACCAATTTAGAGGACTTAGTCCCTGTACCTATCTCAGTCTGCCATTCTAAATGAAGTGAAATGATATTTTAGACAAAAAGGTGTCAGGATGGCAGATTGCTCTTTCCCTTTTAGACCTTCTCCCCACTTGCCACAAATGCTTTCTCTCTCTCCCTCTCATTTTCCCTCTTCTTCCTCCCTTCCCTCTTCCCTCCCTCCCTCCCTTCACCACCACCACTTCCTTCTCCTCCTCCTCCTCCTCTTCCTCCTCCTCATCCCCCTCCTCCTCCTCTTCTTCTTTTTCTTCTTCTTCTTCTTCTTCTTCTTCTTCTTCTTCTTCTTCTTCTTCTTCTTCTTCTTCTTCTTCTTTTCTCTCTCTCTCTCTCTCTCTCTCTCTCTCTCTCTCTCTCTCTCTCTCTCTCTCTCTCTCTCTCTCTCTCTCTCTCTCTCTCTCTCTTCCCCCACCCCCACCACCATGTTCCCATCCTTGTTCCTATGACTGCTTTTTCAGTGAAAGGAAATTTGGTCAGGAGATGGAAATCTGGCCTTTCCCCCCCCTTTAATTAATGATTCCTCCTTTCACTTAGGTTAAGTCTTACTTGTGTACACTATTGGTCTGGTAGGATAGGTGCCCCAAGGGTTAGCCTAATTCTGGCATAAAGAACATGTCAAGTATCTCTCCCATGAGATACCATAACCATAAACTGTTTAGGAAATTGCCCTAATTGTAACAAGTGTGTAACTTCTTCCCCTCCCTGCCCCCCACCTTTAACCTATCTTCTTCTAGACTGGTTTAATTATTCTTTCTTTTTTTTTACATTTCAGCTCAATTCAACAAACATTTAAATGTCAACCACATAGATGGTACAGTGGAAAGAACACCGGATTTGAAATGAGAGGACTTTGATTCCAATACCAGCTATGTCATTATCTGTGTAACTTTGGGAACACATCAAGACAGAAATAGAGAACCTCCTTTGGAGCCTGGAAGACCTGAGTTCAAATCTTCTCACACATGCTGCCAGGTTACTCAGCCTCTCATTGCAACAGGCGTCTCTAAGACAGTAAGTTGCAGAGAATGTATAAATCATAATTGACAGAGGGAATTTCTTTATCCAACAGATTTTTATACTAATGAAATCATAGGATGAGTCACTATCTTCTTATTAATTATTTTTGTACTTTGACAGATTTAGAATTTTATCAGTGTGTTTGACCCCTTCATCAATGCAAATCACAACCCTTCCATACCTTTTTAATCTACAGAAATCCTATTCATGTCTTTCAAAAAAATCTCCTAAGAGTATCCAACACATTTTCTGTTGCTTTACATATTCCACTATTGCCAATGATGTTCTATCACTGCCCATCTGGTGTCTGTCTTGAAACTTAGGATTATAAATAAGCACTTATTACGTTTCTGATAGGCATTGTAAAAGTGAGTTCACTTCTTTTTCTGGACATATATATATATATATATATATATATATATATATATATATATATAATATATATATATATATATATATATATATATATCCTGTATAGTGAGATCCTTTGTATACCATTCCTTTTCATGCCATTGTTTACATGCAAATTATTATTGGTAAGATGTTGAGCATACCCAATATACATCCGCCTCCCCCCCAATTTCATTCTCCTTTGGGTTGCTTATAATTTTGAGTCTTCCATGATCCTCACTTTGATTAATGGCCATGTCAGGATAAGATTGGCATTATGGCAGCAATAAGGTTAGCAACTTTCAAAGTGATTTGCAAATGTTATCTAGATGGATTTCAGTCTTCTAAATTCTGGAACCTGCTCAACATTTTTCTGCAGTGACTGTTTATGCCAAGTAAGATCATCCCAAGATCACATGTATATGAAATGAAAAGGAAGCCACCAAGTAGGTAGGAAATGAAACAGATCTCATTTGCAAATACTGCATGTTTATTGACAATAACCCAATGGGATGCCCATCCAATTCTGTTCTTTGGTGCTCTCTACAATACTTTTCTTGTCCAGTAATCATGATGTATAGGTGATAAAAATTAACGAAGAAAATTTGACACTCATTATCTTTTTACAGCAGAGTCACAAACCAGATATCTGCAAAGCCCTGTCTTATGATGCTATATATAGACACTGCCCATGATGTAAATAAACTCCAGCTTTTATCCTACCTTTTCTTTTTGTTTCTCTGTAGTATTTTTTAACCTCCGTATTTATTCTTAATAATTTATTTTCATGGAAATGTCAGAGTTCCAGACCTGTAAATTTCCCCTTCCCTTCCAAGAATACTAATAAAATTCTAACATGAAACAATTTTTAGCTGGTAGCAGAGGAGAGTGAGGAATCTAATTTAGTTTCCTGAGATTTTACAGTGTAACCTTTTGCTAACTTCTCTTCTCAAATCATCAGAAAGCTGGGTTTGGTTATTGACTAAGAGAATCTGCAGAGGATTTCAAGTCCATGGTCATTAACAACTAATGATACTTTATAGAGTGTTTCTCCCTCATAGCAGTGTAACAAACTGGCGAAAAAGTATATTTGTCACTCTCTCCATCTTGCAATTTCTTGTCTCTCTCTGCTTCTCTGACTTAATTCCATTACCCCTATCTAACATCCTTTCTGCTCACTACTTCTTTATTCTTCTCTCCCTTTCTCCTGTCTTCTTCTTTCTCTTTCATTCCTTTAAGGACGTACACACGCAAACACCAGCAAAGACACATAAACTTTTCTTCCTTGATTTTCCTACAATCTTCAGGATACTAAAAATGACCATATTTTCCAAGGACAATACAAATCATTTTCCTGCCCACAGCCTGAACTGCTTCCCTCTCAATAGGATATCTAAAACCTTGTCTATTAAAATAAGGGGAGAAAAACACATTTCAAATTAAAATCATCATAATAGAAAATAGTGTATAACATATCCCCTGTTTTCTCTCAACATCGGACGTGCCTAACAATTATTCCCATCTTTAGGTTGGTGTGTATCTGCGCAAGTGGGTGTGTATCCTCCCCCCCCCATATGAACTTTGGATCCGTTTTGTATTCATGACTTTCTCCAATCATTAACTGCCTATTCAAAGTGTTTTAAACCAACCTTATGAATAGCTTAGCTATTCAAAATCCACTCAGCTAAGGAGATGAATGTTTTATTCAAATCAAGTAACGAGAAATGCAGATTTAATTAAGCTCATTAATTTTCTATTGCATGACAGAAAGATGGGCAGATAAAAAATTATTGATTAATAAGATTTCTATAGCTCTCTGCAAGGCTTATCTTAACCCATTTAATATTTATTAGTATCATATAATTTGTTCCCATTATACCTTTGCAAAGTACAATTCAAACCTAGTCTTATAAGTTCAAAAATGATCTGAGGGACACTGGGTGTGTTTCTTTGTTCAAAAAAGTCTCCCATACCCCATGACCTAGTATTGGAATTGCATTATTAGAGAGACATTCCTTTGATTCTTGAAACCTTTCTGGTCTCCAAAATTCCTCCAAGTACACAAACCTCATGGAAGTCTAAAACCTTAAACTATTGGCTGATCTCTAAAATTCTATAATGCTGCCATGGGTATCAGAAAGTAAGGGATTAGCAAAGCTTTATGGTGAGAGGACATAAAGGACATATTAGGGGGCAAAAGGATTCTGGGTAGGTGATCAAAAGAAGAACTAAAAGAAGGTGGGGACATGGAGGAAGGAGTATAAAGTTAACTTTGCCTTAGTGCCCTAGCTCCAGAGTTAGAGGATCTATGTTCAAATCCAGTTTGATATATATTCTCTGCATAATCCTGAGCAAGCCAATTAACCCTGGGCCTCACTTTCCTCATCTATAAAATAGAAGGTTGGGAATACATAGCCTTTAACTTCTCTTCCAGCTCTAAATCTTGGATACTGTGATCTCTTTTCCTAATTTTGCCTATGGCTAGCCCTGTGTAACTATTGAAATTACTGTTTAACTGTATCAATTGAGCCAGATGTTGGAGTCAGAGTCTCTGGCAATCAGAATCAGTTTTGGGGGTTGTTCTATGAGTTTCCTCCAAACGTTGAGATAAGATAGAGTTCAAACATGCTGTGGTTTGAAATAATTCAGTCTTCCCTTTTCCAAAACTAAAAACCTTTCTTCCCTATGTGATCCCTGAGAATATTAAGTCCATCTGCCCTATTTTTATTCTCTTTTGCTTTTGGAAAAAACAGGCTATATCTGACAATGTTTCTGTAGGAAAGGAAAATCATTTCCTTTCTTCTCTGTGTTTTCTGTCATCACATAATATAAAATAAAGGTAGGCCTATTTAACTTTAAATACAGCTGTTTCATTTCTCCCATAACAGAAGCTTCAATATCCTTTCTCACAAACACTATGGATACTGTTACTATATCTGTAAGAGGGAAGAGAATCTTGGTGAACTGACAGTTAACTGGAATTTTTTTAAAAAGGCAGTGAGAAGAAGTAGGAGAGAATTACATTTAAACTGCATTTCCTAGTGAAAATAGACTGAGAGTTTAACTATCATCTGTGGAGAGTCTGTGAGAGGATTAAGAGATGGTAGAGAATAGGACTAAGAAAGTTAAATGTCATCTGTTAAGAGGCTGTGAGAGTCCTCTGTCATTGTGAAAGAACCACATTTAACCCTTATTTTGTGAAGAGACATTTTGAAGAGAATTACCATCCTGAGAAAACTATAAATTCCCAGAATGAGGAGGAATCATTGTCAGCGTTGGTGGGAAATATCCCATCAGGTCCCTGTCTATGGTAGAATATACTTGTAATCTCAGATACCAGAAAGGATCAGGCGGGCAGATCTTTTGAGTTCAGTTCTGAGCTACAGTGTGCTCTGCAGATCAGGTATCTGTACTGAGTGTGGTACCAGTAGAGGGATGCCTTGGGAGTGAGAGGAAGGGATCGCCACTTTGCCAAAAGAAGGGTGAATCAGCCCACATTGGAAAAGGAGCATGGCAAGCTCCCATGCTGATATGTAGCAGGATAGAGCTAATGTCAGTGCAAGGGTCAAGAAGAGGGAAGAAAAGGGAGGGGAGGAGAGGAGAGATTCCATCTGTGTCTCTTTCTCATGGTTTCGAAGAACAAAGGTGAGTCTCACTGTGAAATATTTCCACTGTCAACATATTATAAACATTTATTCATATGTCTGAATGATTATTTGCTAGTATAATAAATGGCATGGGTAGTAATATTGATATTATTGAAATATTGATGTTATTTGAAATTATAAGATCAGGAGTTTAAAGTTAGAAAAAGAGGAACAAAAACTCATGGGAAAATAGGTTTCTCTAGTTACTTATAACCATGAGTTGTGTCTGAGAGCTGATGAGTTAAGCAATTAGAGAGATTTTATATTTATATTTATTTTATGAATACATATCATATCTTATTCCTTGATTTCCTTAGAACCCAGTTGTTGAATTAATAAGGAAATGAGCCAATAGAGTGTAGAAAAGGGTTAATACAACTTGCCACCTAGTTCATACACAGTATAGCATACCAAGATGTTACCTAGGCCAGTGCTTCTTAAACTGTGGGTCATGACCCCATATGGGGTCAGGAAAAAATTGACAACAATAGAAGGTTTCTGAGTGCTCAATGACCCAAAATTAATTCAAAATCAAACTCATAAGGAATCTAAGGTGTTTTTGGCAGCACTTGCCTGTGTTGCATCAACAACTTCACTGCAGCCTTGGTTCCAAACACAAAGCATGTGCACTTTGTGCTGTGCATGCCCTCAGGCCACACAACACCAACTTCTGCTGCCCAAATGTGAAAAGGAGTGGGAAAAGTTTAAGAAACCCTGACCTAGGCTAAACCTGGAGAGCTCATTCATAAACTTGTTATACTCACTTGGTTATTAGGCTGAATTCTTTTGAATAATCACGTATCCCATTGAAGAAGCCCTGTAATTTTATGAGGCTTAACATAATTACCACAATATTATCTGCAAAGAGGACCCCCTTTAATACTTCATAATCTGTAGAGAATCCCTCTTTAATATGGACCTTTTACAGTGATGAACATGAGTGTGTATATACATAATATATATTTATACATACAAATATGCGTATTCTAGATTTAGAGTATAAGAAACATTAAAGATGCTTCATCATGATCATATATCATGTGTTTAGCCATTCCCCAATTAATGGCCATCCCCACAATTTCTAGTTCTTTGCCACCACAAAGAGAGCTGCTATAAGCATTTTAGAACATACAGGTTCTTTTATACATACAAATATGCACATTCTTGATTTAGAGTATAAGAAACATTAAAGATGCTTCAAAAACTTATGCTCACAGGGCTATAGCTTGAAGGGAATTCAGAGGCCATCTGGTACAATCCCTTCATTTTACAGATGAGGAAACTAAGGAGCATGAAGGATAAATGACTTGCCCAAAGTCACAAAGGAAATCAGTAGCAGAGCTAGAATTGGAGTTGTCTTTATATCAATCAATAAATATTTATTCATCACTTGATATTAATAAACAGAACATAGTTAACTCTGTGGTTCCATTTCTCAAGGAGTTTTATATAATGTTAGCTTACACCTAAGAGGCTCCTTGTTTGAGAAGAACATATTTAAGACTCTTTGGCACTATGTGGACAAATACTCAGTATCCAGATTATGACATTCAGTTGCACAGCTATTCCACGTTGTGTTAGTACATCATTATGTGTAATGGGCCAGGCACTGTGGATGTAAAAATGAGTTTAGACCTAGAATTTGCATAGAAGAAAGGTAGCATTGTACTTAAGAAATTAAATAGAGCTTTTGACAATCTAAAGGTGCTCCTCTATTCAAAGACTTATCTTTTCTACACAAAAACATTCTTCTTGTGATGTTTTATGGTTGTGAATCATGGAATGCCTCTTTCTTCAAGAAATCCAAGTTTTAGAGCCCTAACAGTCCATGGAGAAACATGTGCTATATCCATGTGAACTGCAGCATATTTCCAATGGTGACTTTCATTCAAGAAGTGGAGCAAAGCATTGGGGGAATGTATGACAGGAAGAGAAAAAGGACAATCATTTGGTACCATTCCACTACTCATGATCATTCAGTGACTCCCTATTGATGCTAGAACAGAGGTGCCTAACCTGGAGTCCATAGATCCCCAAAGGATCCATAGATAGACTTCAGGAGGCTTGTGAACTTGAATAATAAAAATACATCTTTTCAAAATATAGAGGGTTTTTGAGCAAGTTAGCGACTTAGATAAAATTACTTTAGTAGCTGTTTAAACCTTGATTTGAATTCAGAGAGGTGAAAAGATCAGATATCTAATAAGTGGCAGAGTAAGGTTTCAAACCCAGGCCCTCCTGTATTTACTTTCTTAGACCCATGGCACAAAGGCTGTACAATCTCAGGACTCTCTTTCCTACTTGTCTTGACATTATTAGGCAAACACTGAAAATTCTTTCTTTTGGTGCTAATGTAGCCTGAAGAATAGAGGGAAGTGGCAATGTAAAATAGCGGATCCCAAACAGGCAAGAGTTAGGAATTTGCCTTAGCAACTCAGTCACCCCCTGCCAGGAGGGAGCTTTTATTTGTGAGTTTTTGAATCTAGTTCTAGGTTCTCCCCAATAAAGACTAGTGATGATTTCCCACAGAGTGTAACTCAGAGCCTTTGGCTTGGTGCTTAAGCGAGGTAAAGCAATGGAGATATTTTAGGGTTTCAAAGAACATTTAATAAAGAAAAAGAGGTAAGAAAAACATAGCAGGAGAAAAAGAAAGGGAAAGACCCAAGCTTAGCATCCATATAGCTAGAAGACCATATAGCATTAGTGTTTTGGGGGTTGGTAAGAGGCTATGGTATTAATGGAAGGAGCTGCCTCTATGCTCAGCTTTTGCAAAGATAAGTGAGGTAGTCAGTTCTTTCCTCCTCTACCCTAGGAATCCAGACTTATATGGGCCAAGTCCAATTCTGGGGGTATAGAGGTTATCACCAAGGAGATGTATTACCAGAAGAGGAGATGGGGCAATCACACAGCCAGAGTAATAGATAACTCATGGATACCCATGTGCTTTAATGATGATAAGGCAATGTCAAGAAGTCTAAGTGAACTTCTAGGTCTGTATCTCAAAGAGAAAATAAAAATGGGAAAAGGACCCACACATACAAAAATCTTTAGAGCAGCTCTTTCTGTGGTGGCAATGAATTGGAAATTGAAGGGATGCCTATCAATTGGAGTATAGATGAACAAGTTGTGGTATATGAATGTAAAGGAATACTATTGTGCTATAAGAAATGATGAGCAGGCAGACTTCAGAAAAACCTGGAAAGATTTGTATGAACTGATGCTGAGTGAAGTGAGCAGAACCAGGAGAACATTGTAAAAAGTAACTGATGCATGGTATGATGACTTTGATAGACTCAACTCTTCTCAGCAATGCAAGGACTTAAGACAACTCCAAAAGACTCAGGATGGAAAATGCTATCCACATCTAGAGAAAAAACTGTGCAGTCTGAATGCAGATGGAAGCATACTATTTGCTCTCCTTCTCTTTTGCTGTTTTGTTTCTTTATTCTTGTGGTTCCTCCCATTAGTTCTAATTCTTCTTTACATTGTGACTAACGTGAAAAAATGTTTGATATGAATGTATAAGTAAAGCCTATCTCAGATTGCACACCATCTTGGGGAGGGGGGGAGGAAAGAGATGGGGAAAAAATTTTAAACTCAAAATCTTAGGGAAGTGAATGTTGAAAACTAAAAATGAATGAATTGTTAAAAAAAAGAAATCTAGGTGAAAGTCTATGGTACTTTGGGTAGAACCCCCTCATTCATTCATTCATTCATTCATTCATTCATTCATTCAACAAGCATTTATTACGTACTTGTGTCAGGTTCTGTGCTAGATGCTGTAACAAAGACAAAAAGGATGCTGTCCCCCCTTCAAGTAGCTTAACTTCACATGGATTTACAAGAGGACATGCTCACAGCATGAGATAAAGAAAACTAATCCATCAACCTTTCAAAGACCAATTGATCTGTTATGTCTACAGAAGCTTCATGTTTAGAAATTCTGTAGCCACTCTGACAGCAGCTAGGTGGTGCAGCGCGCAGAGCACTGGACTTGGACTCAGGAAAACTCATCTTCCCAAGCCCAAATCTGACCTCAGACACTTATTAGCTGTGTGACCCTCGGAAAGTCACTGAACCCTGTTTACTTCACTCTCCTAAACTGTAAAATGAGCTAGAGAAGGAAATATTAAACCACTCTAGTGTCTTTGCCAAGAAAATTGCAAATGGGATCATGAAGAGTCAGATATGATTGAAACAACTCAATAACCATAAGTCACTCGAATATAATAACAGCTAATATTATGTACCACTTTAAGATTTATAAAGTACCTTCTACATATTATATGATTTATTACTAGAATGACATGAGGGATGTACTATTATTGTTCCCATGTTATAGATGAGGAATCTGAAGCAGAAGGGGGTTAAGTGACTTATCCAGAGTCACACAACTAGTGTGTGAGGCAGGATTTGAACTCAGATTTCCTGACTCCAACACTCCATCCACTGTGCTATCTAGTTGCCTATTTGTCTACATCCTCCTCTCAGCTTCTCCTTTACTGTTGCTGGCACCATTCTCCTCCCAGGCAGCCAGACTTGAAACCTTACAATCATGCTTATATATTTGGGTCTTTCATTTCATACCATCCAGGTAAAGAATAAAATTATCTTTTTGCTGTCAGTCTATGTGACCTTGGGCAAGTCATTTAGCCTGAGCCTCAGTTTCCACATAGCTATGGAATAAGAGAGTTGAATTATATCTCTTCTAGGTCTATGCTGTGATTCCCAATAATTGGTTGTTGTTGGGTTTTTTGTTTTATTTTGTTTTTTGTTTCTTACGACTTTTGCATAACAATGAAGGTCATAAAAAAAAAGAAATACTCTTAATGGTATTACCAAATCATTTTCTAATTATTATTCAACATTAAGACACAGAAAAGAATGGAGTCTGCTTTTTTTTTTAATCCCAGCTCCTAAGCACAGTGCTTGGCACATAATAGCTCTGTTAAAATGCTTGTTGATTGAGCAATGATTCCTTTTTTATGCCATACTAAG